GTGTGTGTGTGTGTGTGTGTGTGTGTGTGTGTGTGTGGACCTGAGGATGGCACCACTACAAGGAGGTGCTGGAGGCCCAGAAACAGAGAGAGGGAGCATATTTAAGAGCTAAAGGCAGTGCAGGGCATGTGTGTGTTTGCTGGTTTCATTTAACACTATGATTGTTAGAGGAGCTTCAGCTGGTGACTGAGGGAAACTGTTTTCAGTGTACACGCAATGTTAGGTGAGGTGAAGAAGGTTAGTTCAAAGTTATTGGGGCCCCCTCGCAAATCCCTCCTCCACACGGCTGTCCTTCTTCCCCCTTGTGGTCCCCCTCAGCGTCTCGTCTCTTTTTCCATCTTCTGTCATTTCTGTGAGTGTAGTCATGATCTATCAGCAGGTGGTCCGCAAGAGAAAGAGGGGCAGGACGGGAGAGAGACAGAAGGAAGGTTGTACAAAAGTCATAATCTCTGAGAGAGCAGTGTGCCAGAGATTCAAAGTGTGTGTGTCTGTGAGTTTGAATGGTCTTGCGTTGATGGGAACACTGTTTAGTGTCCTTAGCCCCCAAGTCCCATTAACTGTTGGCTGTTTTTTTTTTTTTCCAAGTGTGTGCATGAATCAAATAAACATACAGCAATATGCTTCCCTGAGTGGAGTGGGTCGGGTTTAAGAGTCAGTCAGACACCAACAGCCCCGCTCTTCAGTCATACACGTTCACACTTTTCGTTTTGTGTCCTTGTGATCTGGCAGACTCAAAGCCGTCCTCCTCCGTCCCACTCTCCCATCTTTGCTCTCTTCCGTGTCATTCCTGGGCTGTGGGTTTTGGATACAGGCACTTGACAGAGTCCTGTTGTCTTGAAAGAAAAGTATCACGGGAGGAGCGTGTGTGTGTTTGTGTTGCTGGGCTGTAAGGGAGTGTGTGTGTCCCCTGAGGAAAGTCTTGACTGGCTGCTGAACCTACCAGTCGGGGTCTGAAGGCAGGAGCCGTGCTACTGGGACAGGGCATCTGGAGCTTCATTGGCCAGGTGGGAGGTGAACTAGAGGCCAGGTTTCGTGAGGCAGCATCCGTCTGATTTCAGCCCTGTTACAGTCACCGTGCCTGGGATGGCTGAGTATGAGTGTGTCCCTCCTCCCAAAGGATGTGTCCCAGAGGGGACAGAACACAGCTGCGGGACCTGACTGGCTGCCGTTGAGGAGTTGATTTTGAATGTGTGTGTCTGTCAAACGCTGCTCAGGAATCTAGTTTGTCAGTATGGGAGAGGGATTACAGAGGAACCATTTACATACTCCTGTGCTACTGGGACAGTAGTGTTAATGCTGTGATTCTCATCAGCAGTCTTTGTTCTCCAGCGACAGCTGTGCAGTGGCACGATGCAGCTCTGCGCTCACCCTCCTATGTGAGGCCAACGGTGTGGCTAAAGAGCCCTCGTACGCCAATGGGGGAGGACTGTCCCCTTCTCCACTCCCTGTCCCGTCCTCCTCCATCTCCATCCGTCCATTGCTTTGCCTCCCTCTTTCCCTCTCCTCCTCTGGTCGTACTTTCTTATCGTCCGACTCCTCCTGTGAGGCTTCCATACGCTGGTCTTCGCTCCAGCGCCTTTTGAAGCGCAGCTTCAGGGGGATGCACTTGGTCTGGGGAGATGAGCCCATCTGAGGTGGAGGCGTGCTGCTCTCCCCTGGCTCAATGGGTTCAATCTTGAGGGTGGGCACCCCACGATGTACGGAGTGTGTGTGCTGCGAGGTGAAAAAGGGCATCAGGCCAGGTGGAGGCGGAGCAGGGGCTTTGAAGACATCCTCGTCCAGGTCCTCATCATGGTGGTGTTGATGTTGGGGTGCGGCTGTGCCGTTAGCAAAGTGGTGGTGGTTGCGGTGGTCAGAGGCTCTTGAGTGGCGAGTGGAGAAGAACTCTTCATCTCTTTCATCTGGGTCCTCATCACTAATGTCGGTCACCTCCACCTCTTCCTCTGACTCTATGTCAGAGATTGGCTCCACCTGGACAGTCAGGAAAGAAGCGATTAAGACAATGAACACAAGATGAAAACAGAAAATGGAAAGAACTGATTGATAGTGAATCAGTGAATCACCAGCAATGTTTGAGATATAGTGAATACCACTGAAGCTGTGTTGATGATATATGTGTTTTAAAAACATTTTCAAGATCTTGTGGTGACTCATATCTCAAATTTTCCTTGCATGGATTTACACAGTCCAGAGTGTGTCTCACCTTTATCTTGGGAAGTCCTGCACTGTTTAGAGACTGCGTTGAAGAGGAGGCAGAGATGAGGCCTGAGCCACTGGCTGAGCTCAGATCACTGCCAAACGACAGCGAGGACCCCAGACCCGAAGTAGACGACATAGACCCAGATCCTGAGCCTGAGGACAGCGAGCTCTGCCTGTGTTTGCTCTGGATTTGAGTATCCCTCTGCTTCCTGCCCAGTGGCGGTGGCTGCAACTTGAATTTGAAGGGAGACATGTGTGGAGGCTCCTCACCCAAATGGAGCGGGTGATGCATTGGATGGGAATGGGGGTGAGGGTGAGGGTGGGCAGAGTGAGGTGGATGCGGATGGTGGTGGGCGGAGTGAGCCAGAGGTGGATGGTGGTGCCGCTCTCCTCCCCTCTCTCCTCCGCCTGCCGCTGCTCTTTCTGCTCTCTCTGCCGCTCCTCTTTCTCCACTCAGACCAGACTTGTCGGCCATGGGTCGGTGGGGCTGCGGGATAATGATGTTGGGGTACTGGAGGAAAGCTCTAGGGCTGAGGCCGTAGTTGTACACTGACTGGGTGTGGGCCTGCAAGTAGCGCTTCATGTCCTCTGGATTGAAGGAGAAATGGGAGCCTAACATGGGGGACAAGGTGGGTGAAGGAGTGTAGTTTAGGTGAGATGTGGGGGTCATGGAGAGTGCAGGGGACAGAGGAGGGGCCAGGAGGCCAGCTCCTCCTGGCCCTGGCAGAGGGGATACAGGGAAGGGGGACAGGGGCTCTGGGTGGATACGGTGCCCTGCGGGGCCACGGGAGCCTGGGTGGCCGGCCGGGTTGCCTCCTCCGTACATGCGGAAGAGGGTCTCATGAGACAGACGAGGATGGATGATACTCCGGTAGCCTCCTCCACCACCAGGTCCTCCTCCGCTCACACCCCTCTCTCCTCTCTCCTCTCCCGCTCCTGTGTTGCCCTCCTCAATCTCAGAGTTGACAGAGGTGCCGTCGCTGCAGTCGCTGACTGAGCCTCGTGCCATTCGTCGGGCCACAGAGCTGAACATGCCGGGGCTGCGCAAGTCCTCATTGGGGGAGAGAACTTCAGAAGGTGTTGAAGGAGGAAAGCGGAAGTGGGACCCTGCACCTGTGGGGACAGGAGGGGCGCTCTGAGGAACGCTGCTTCCTGGAAATTTTGAGAAAAAAAAAAAAAATGAGGGGAGAATACTGAGAAATAATATATAATATGTTTGCTGGTATAATCCTACATAATACTGTTCTCAGATACAGCTTTAGACTACTCAGGCTTACCTGTGGAGCCCATGTCGATGAAGGGGTAGTTGACTAAAACCAGTTTATTGAAGTTGAACTTATAGGTGAACCTCTTGCCTTTAGTCTTATGAAGGATTCTCTTGTTGTAGTAATATCTGGAAAGGAGAATTTAACAAACACAATTATTAAGAAAATATACTTATTCATAAGAAAAATGTAAACACACCTCAAGGCTAAGTAACTGGCTGCAAGTAATCTTGTGACAAGATTTTCAGTTCAATTAAATTGTATTTGTATAGTGTTATTTCACAACATACATTATCAAAAGGCACATTTACAGTACAAATATATAGAGAAGCCCAACAGTTCCCACAAGGAGCAAGCACTTGGGGACTGAGTACCACAGAAACATATAAACACTGACATTTTAGCAACCCTGAAACTTAAATTGTTAGAATGTCACTGAGTAGAGGACATAACTCTGCCAAGGCCCGACAGTCCTCTTATGAAGTTAAATCTGCCAGTTCCCAATTTTTAGTTGGTTCTGCACCAAATTGTAACCACTCATATCAGCCCTCTTAAAAATGCCCCATTTTCATATAGATCCAAGAATTGGAAGAAGTCACGGTGCATCCATCCATCGTCTTCCACTTATCCAGGCCCGGGTCACTGAGGTAGTGGGCAAAGTAAGGTATCTCAGACATCTCTCTCCCTAGCCAAGCTTTCCAACCCTTCCTGAGGGATCCCTATGCATTTCCAGGTCACATTGGATATGTAATCCCTCCAGCGAGCTCTGGTCTACCTGGTTGTCTCCTCCTGGTTGGCAGTGGTAAGCCTCCAAAGGAAGGTGAAGGTGCCCAGGAGGCCTCCTAACTAGATGTGAAAACCACATCAACTGTTCCCCTTTGTCACGAAGGAGCAGGGTCTTATGTCTGAACCCCTCACCCTATGTATAAGGATGAACTCAGCCACCCTTGGAGAAAACTCACCAACTTTGGCCGTTATTTGTGACCTCATTCTTTCAGTTGCTACAAAATTCCCAAGATAAAAAAAGTTTCAAAACCCACATCTCGCAAAGTTTAAGAAATGTCCTTTCTTTGTCTGGATTCACACCAAAAGGGAATGTGTTCTCTAAAGGCTCATGTCCCATTCTTCCATTAAGTTTGGTGGAAATCTGTTAATTAAGTCTTCAAGCTAACAAACTAATCAATGGACAACTGGAAATTGGGCTAAAACATTACCCTCCTTGGCAGTGCTAAAAATGTGAACTTCATTTTAAAGTATTATTCGGCTCTTGCGTTCTTTGGGGACTATGACAGATGAACTCCTACACTCAAGCACGCGCTTTAATAAGCACAAGTCTTTCATCTGCAACCACCCCCCTCTCCTTAGTAGTAGATATTGCAGAGTGTTGTATGACATTTGCACAAAGCAGACCCAGAAAGGGGGGGGGGTTTAGAGATAGCAACAGACAGATAGATGAAAAGCAGTGGACGGACTGAGCTGTGGAGTAGCAGAGGGATGTTGTGTTGGGATAAACAAACAATTAAGAGATCAGGGGGGTCAACGTATGCAGTGTTACCAACAAGGCCAAATGTTCGGCTATTTTGAGCAGTTGTATGCATGTTTGACAGGTGTGTGTTGCTGTGTGTGGATTGTGTATGTGCATGTACCTTCACTCATCTGTATCTGTTAAAAACGTGGTCAGGAATTAGTCTTTTAAAGTCTTTTCAGTTCAGATTTTATCAGGTAAGTGTCCTGCACAATCACACATCCTGTCTTTCATTTTGCTAGATGGACGCATCTTCTTATGTAACGCCAAAGCAAAGCCGCCAATAATTCACCCCATCTTTATCTGTTTATGTAATGACCATTCTCTCTCTTTTTTTCAAGCTTTCTCTCGCTCTCTCTCTCGCTCTCTCGTGGCTACTGCCTACAGTACAAGGCTCCATTTTTATTAACCTTTGTCCAGCTTCAGCTCTTTATGTAACATCTCTCTGCTTTCTTCCCCTGATCCAACATCCAATTTATGTAACCTCTAGATCCCTGGCTGAACAACCGTCACACAATAAGGGAGATGGAGCGAAGCCGGGAGGAGGAGATAAAGGGTAAGAAACAAACAGAAACACCAGTGTTTGTCCATCAGGGGGGAGAGAACGAGGCTTGAGTGCCAGCCTCACCAAAACCGCTGTCTATCATTTCAACGCTACCCCCCCCCTGGCTATTAAACAGGAGATTTAACCAGACTGCACTTTGCTCATCATGTCTGCATGCCTACCTGCTTTTAGAGCTGCAGACTGGGCTTCCTCTTCCTTCAGCATGTGTCTGCTGGCACAAGTTAAGTGAAGTGTGCTGGCAAAGATAGGGGCTTCAGGGTATGTAGGTAATTCCGAGTTAATCAGAGCCCATTGACTATCATTACACTGAATGGTAGTTATCCAGACAGCCATATGTGTGTATGTGTGTGTGTGTGTGTGTGTGTGTGTGTGTGCGTGTGTGTGTGTGTGAGCGCGTTTGTCTGTTAGGCGGCGGGGAGGTGTCGCCCTTCACCCCCTCTTATTATGCTTATTACACAGACTTGTTGGGCCATTTTTGCTCTGGGAACAGACTGTTGCTCTTTTTCACTTGTTCTCTTCAACCCTCCCCCTCTCCTCCCTTTATCCTACTGATACCTCTCCCTCTCTTCTCTCTCATCAATCCACCTCCCCCCTCTTTATATCCACTCACTCGTCCCCTCAGGCAATGGGAGAGGGTGAGAGACGAGGAGAGACAGAGGGAGACAGGACAGGCCCGCACTGTTGAAAACATTGTTTACGCCAGGCACAAAGCAGCATGTAATTTCTGCTCTAGGGGAGACACTCACAAGGGTTGGGGAAGGAGGGGGGAGGAGCAGTTGAGATTGAGGGACGGATGGACAGAGAGGAAGTAGCAGAGTAAAAACCACAACAGAACTGTGATTGAATTAGCTGATGATTGAAAAGTCAATCGGCCGGGCTGTGGCCCACATGAGGGTCCGATATACTGTAAATAAAGAAGGGTAGAAAATAAACAAAATCCCATGTATCCAACAGTAATGTATGTTGATTATCACAAACCATCGTTGTAATCTCACTGGAGGAATATGAATTTACTTTGCATATGCAACATATGTTACCTAAACTAATGCAGTCCAACTATGATGCCAACTTTAACATTGCCGTCGTAGCTTATCGCTTATTCGCAAGCACCGTAAATAAACAATAAGGTACTTCTAACTGAACATATGCAACTGTGCCAAGCAGCCCATGTTTGTTTCTTATCTGGAATCATGTTTGCAAGTTGAAAAGAGAGATCCCAAACACTTAAAGCATCACTACGTAACTTTTACTGAACAACAGCGAACAACGCTCTAACAGATTCTTCATATTTTAAAAGTTTCTTCACTGAATGTGGGAGATAACGGCTGGTTTTTAATGATTTTACATCTTTTTAACTGATCTACAGTTCGGCATCAGTATTCAATTTGCTGGATCTTATTCAGGCAATTGAAGTTGCAAATATCAGTCAGTTACACACTTCTCAGAGGAGTTGTGCACATTCACCAAGGTTGCATAAAGAAAGAACAGACCTTCAGAGTGACTAACGAAGGTGGTGCCATTCTCCCTATTCACTGAGCCATCAAACTAGTGGAGGTGCTATTTTAAAGTAGAAAAGATGCACAGTGTTCCTGAGGTGTTGCATTAGAGTGCGTTAGTTTTGGATACGTCGACTTAATAAACTGGAAACTCAGTGTATAAATACAAACACTAATAATATCACTGTGCTGACACATCTGTCCGACCCTGGCTTGTGGCAGCCAACTCGTAGGGAGAGAAGCCAACCAAAATTCTGTGTGCGCTTGGCTTCACACACACACATGCTGTTAATACACTGAACGCTGAAACGCATAGTTGGAAGCAGACAACAACTTTGCGTAATCCAAGCCACAGCATCTGAGGCTGTGTTTAGAGCACATGGTCACCCATTCTTTCTGCGTGCCCCCACCTCCTGCGCCGTCATACAGGCAGACAGTCTTTGAAGAGCATTTGAACTCACTTCAAAAGAGAAGAAAGAGATTCTTTGAGTGCCTGTGTTTAGCTGCCCACCACACTCGATTTACACACACACACACACACACACACACACACACACACACAC